AACATTGCTTCACCCATAGTATAGTTGGGACTCGGGGCACCGACGGTTGCAGGTGCAACCGTCCCTGCCAGTTTTGGTCATTATCAACTGCGCGTAACTTTCTTTGTACATCGTGTAACTTTTTTTACACATCGCGTAACTTTAGAGCAAATTTTTGTGAGACCCACACACAGCGCGGAAATCGAGTTACAACTTGTTATCTCAGCCGCACAAATTTTTGAGGGGGAATCTGGGCCGTTAACCGTGCAGCAACCGTCCCTGTCCCATTTCCTTATAGTTGTCACTTGTCAGAGCATAGAGCATAGAGCATAGAGCATAGACAAGACTATTTTGATACTGTATTAGTTCGTGCAGCTGCGGACAAATTAATTGCCAAGATCAAAATTTGTCATTGGGGAATTTCTAAAATTTAACAGATAAATTAAGTAGGTTAGGAGATAGATGAGCAATGCATCTCCATCATTTAGAGAAGAATCTACATCTAGAGATTATTGACAAATTAAGGAGACATATTTTTCTTCAGTAGTTTCAGTAAAACTATGCCCAGAAAGTTTTTTGGACATCCCATGCATATATATATATATATATATATATATATATATATGTATAGATATGAACCACATCTAAACTAAATGTCTTACCATCTTTTATGTTACAATAAAAAAGAACAGTGGATCAACCATTAATACTAAGAAATAATTATCTACTCCTGAATTAAAATACTTTTACAGAAGAAATTTATCCTCTCCTCTTCTTTCTCTCTTGACACAATTGTTGGGTCTGACTAAATAGTAATGGCAAAGATAAATGTCATGAGACTCATGACATGAACACTTGTAATATAATGCTTGATGCAGAATTCAATGCAATACAAGACTGGAATAGGTGAGTCGAAGTCCTGTTTTAGTCTTTCTTAGTTGAGTAGGGTGAGTTTGATCAGATGCTAGAACCAAATACATGAACACTTCTTCAGTGCCCTAACCAAATACATGAACTCAATTATTAGGTCAAGTTCAGATAGAAACTGTTTCAGGGGCGAGGTTAACCTGCGGTTTCGACCATGTGTAAATCTGCAACAAGAAGAACATAACAGTGGTTGCAAAGCAATTTGGAACGTCCATTGGTGCTTACCATCCTTGTATCAAGATTAGATTCTTTATCATTCCATTTTGATATCGTGACTCAGTAAGTGGATGGTTGAAAAACATTTGGCAGCTGCAAAAGGAAAAATCGCACTCCCCCAATAAATGATTTTGTGCTGATACAGGCGGGGATTATTCTCATAACTTAAAAAGTGTATTTGATGTATGTTTTTTCTTTCTTTTTTTTTTCCTTGAGAATTTGCTATTTTAGGCATTTTGCTTGTTTTAGTTGGTGAAGATGGTGAATCTTGGTACTGTGCAACAACCACCTTGCTTAAAGCAAAACCCACCAACCGCAACATTCGTATTCTACCAAACCCCATGCTCATGCAAACATTTTAAGCTAACACCCAAAGCACCCCCACCCCCCACCCCCCCCCCCCCTCCACCACAACACCACCAAAATCCACTCTATTTTTGGAGATAAAAATGAGCTGTTCTCCACGTTTTCAGATAATTGAGCCGCAGGGAAAAAAATAATTTTTTTTCTTATGGAAAAATAGTTTTTGGGTACTTAGACAAAGTTGTTACTTATTATTGTCTATTAAAAAAATTAAAACTTAATTACCAACAAACTTTGCTGCTAATTTTCATGGACACGCTGCTCAAAAATAAAGTTGAAAACTTATCTCAAAATGTAAGGTGGTCATGCATTAGATGAATGAAGAAAAGTTCCTTTGGTTTAATGAGAAAGGTTCATGAAATTAAATGATTGAAAATCAAGTTTTTGAAAGATATATAAATCCTTCTAAAAAAATTGACTGATTCAACAATTTTTAAAAGTCTGGTAGTTATGAAACTGATTTATGCTTTTACATAAAGCACTTGAGTAGTTTACTGTTGTTTCTGGAATTTGACTAACATGAATGTATTTTCTACTTATACAAGTCTGGAAAATTTAACTTTCATGTCAGTCGTCGATCATTCATGAATCATTACACATGGAGACAGGGATACATATCGTTTTAATAATTTAGGGTCATATACGTCTAGCATTGAAATTTGCCTATTCTTCTGTTTTCTCCTACTTGCCCTTACTTTGTCAATTTCAAGTTGGCAATTATGAGAATGAGAAAGCACTATCACATCTACTCAATATTTCTCAACAGCATTTTAGACAAAAGGAAGTACCGATTTTGGAGAAGAAAAAAAATCTTGCAATAGAGGTGTGAGATTCAAGAAGCTGAGAGAGAAATGAAAGATCTGAATTCAAAACTCTAAATCCTATAATCTCAACCTTAACAACAAAACGAAGTAACCGTAATACTCCTGATAGTTTGACCACCTTTTAATTTGGCAACCCATTAGTATTTCTTTCTCATGATACTTTGATCACCTTTTAATTTGTCCCCGAAAAATTAAAACATGTTTAAGTTTTTAGGTTATAAATAGCATGGCTCCAAACCCCAACTGAAATGGTATTAAATTGATTTGGGACAAAGTTAAATAGAGTGAAATTAACTTAAATTTGGTTATAAATATTTCCAAAACGCAATTTTCACTTCAAGAGGAAAATATGAGAAATATACAAGATGATATAGCAATTAAAGAAGTTTCCATAAAATGGCTGAAACACTAGATCACTACCCTCATTTTATGTCATTTTAATTAAACATTATAGTTGGCTGGACCATTTAATTTCAAGATTTGGTGTGCATTAAGATTTCATGAGTTGGTAAAACTCTTAATATGGATTTATTCCGAGCCATTTCGTCTCCAGTGTCCAGTCTTAAGAAAAAAGCCATATAGTAACTTAGACTCGTGATCTTTTTGATAATTAGTAGTAAGTAGAAGTTTTAAGCATGCTTGCAGTCTAGTGTACCTTTGATCCTTACATATTTTCTTGTTGAGATTGCCAGAAGTTCGGGAAACCTAACATATCAATGGTGAAGTACAAATTAAAAAGTTCCATTGTATAATTGATATACTTTTGTTGGGACGATCAGAACGCTATGTTGATTGCTGAGGAAGATATTTTTCATTTTTGTTAGCTGAAGATCTCCTCATTGCATAGAGATAGCGTATACCTTCAAAACAAGTGGGCATCGTTTGGTTCCATTGTCCTCAAATTGCTGCTAGTAAATGAGGTACACCTTTTTTTTTGTTGTTTAGTTTCAGTTTTGTACAACACTCCTACGTGCCTGCATGCATTGTCAAAGTGATGTCGTACTTCGATGGTGCCATATCCACTAGGGTACAACAAAAAAAGGTGCCTTTGTTAGAACCATACAATTATTGAACTTCATCCTTAGGAAACTCGATTAACCAGAAATTTTACTAGAAAATAAGAAAGGGAAGAAGAAAAGCTTCATAAGTGGAGAAGTTGTTAGGTTTTGGATTTGGATCCTCGAAATGGAAGGAAAGTCCAAGTATTTCATCTTCAATTATTAATGTAGAAAATATCCACGTTTTTGTCCAAACTATTTCAACTGCATAAATTGGGCTGCAGATTTTTAATGAGCACTCGCTAGTATATATATATATATTTTTTCCATGTAAATATATACATCCACATTTATTACTCCTAGCATTTAAACACATTTTCAAACTAGTTTCAGTACTTTTACAAAAGAAATACTTTCTCTTAACTGAGGCCCACTACAAAACCTATTTTAAATGCATAATTGATCTCACAATTAATTCAAAATGATTTTGCAGCCATCAATCATAGAATATCGCCCATGCCAATCATTTCAAACAATTTTCTATAGGATATACAGTTAGTTACTTCTGTATTCGAGTTTTGAAGCTCAACAATTATCTTCCAAAACATGATAGAATACAATCATCTCGAAATGCATATAATTCGTAAATAGTTCAAATCTTGTTACATCCATTATTTGTATCAAGTGGTAAATCAATTTTCATGGTATACATTTAGTAAAGATTTCAACCACGTAAAATTGACCCTTTTTTTTAAATCTATATCCAATCGGTAACTATCCATATTGAAAGTTGACAAAGTTTTGATTCAGTGATTAAGGTTAAAATTTCAAAATCTAAATATTTTGAGTTTAAGTTCCTAATTTCCCTCTCCGTCTCTTAAATCTTATCCTTGTCCTTTTAAAAAGAATTTAAAAAAAAAAAAAAAAACTTTCCAAATCGAAGATAGGACATTGGGGCGTGTGAATTGGTTCACTAGACAGCCTACGTCCAATTGGTATCCTTCCAAATCTGTAGATAGCATTGAGCCGTGTGAATTGGTTCTTTACACCATCTATTCATTCATTTTCGCCCTTCCTGGGTAGCTCAGCCGGTGACCACATGCGGTAGTATCCTGTAGGTCACCGGTTCGAGTCCCAGTAACAAAAATGGGGTAACTCAACAACCCGAATAAGGGTTGGGGTCTGAAGTGGGGTCAGGTCCTTTTTTTTGACAAAAAAAAAAAAAAAAATTCATTCATTTTCGCACCCAAAAAAATAAATTTCATTTTCTCTTTATCCGGCACCTGACTAACCCACGGGCAAGCAGCTTATCCTGTTTGTATTTATTGTGTACTACCCAAAGCTACTTCTCATTCTCACTTTCTATCCCTCATCTGATCAGTCACCTCGAATTTTGCCCTCTTGTTTGTCTGATACATCAGTCTTACATTTCTTTAATATCCTCGAAAATTTTCGATCCTGTAGTCTTGCCCTTACTTTACTGTGTTTTTGTGGGTGATGTCAGTGGTGGTTAGTTTGGCCGATGCACATGCATTCAAACTTTGCTTAGTTTATCCGTGAGTCAAATCCCTCCACACGTGTAAAAAGCACCATCTCACACGCTTGAGCCTCTCCTCTTCATGACTTTATTCAGATATCCTCTATAAAATCAGCTCAAGGCACTCGTAGCATAGCAGAGCATAGCCCTCATGGATTGGAATCATGAACTATGAAATATCAATCCCATGATTCCTGGAACATGGTACGTTTGATTATAGGTGTCTCCTGCTTTGTTTCCCCCAGAGTTCAATTTTAAGATGTTGGTTTGCCTTATATTGAGGTTTTCTTTATTATTATTTTTTTTGATACTCATAAAATATTTATCCCTTTTCGATGCAGGTCACATGAGATCCAAGACATATCTGTATCATCTTCGGATTTTGTAAATGATCTGATCATGCTTGAAGGTGAGTGGTTTCCTTGCTATGCTTGTCAAGCCAGCAGTCTTCGCGGTCTGACCTTTCTCTCGTTGTCTGTTCGACCTTGAAGTTCTTGTGGTTTTCATGGGACATAAACCCTAGTAACTCCGTTTACAGAGCATGATCTTAGCTATCCTAGGTTCGTCCTGGTTCCGTATTCAAGGGTTTGATATTGTCATAGTTGACTTTGCCTTATAAGCCATGCAAACTAAAGCTTAGTTTGAACTTGGCATAGGGTTATCGATTCTGGCTCGAGCTTTTCACCTTTCTCTACCATCGGCATATAGGAATAATCAGTTAATTAGGCCTCTTAATACCTTACTGAGGCTGAGTTCATTTGGAAACCCAGGTGGTTTAGATCGAAACTAGGCATACATAGGCTGGCTTTTAGATGTTTACGTCTTTGAAGATCTATCCAAATTTTAGATATTAGTACATAAATCAATCAAATTTTTGTACGTGCATCTGTTATTAGATCATACGAATACATGACTTTCAAACATTATATTAGCCTGCCTAGTAGTTCGTCATATTGGAAATAGTGTTATAAAATTGGATTTAAATTAAGAGATTTGACAAAAGATTTGAAATCTTTTCAAAATCATCCAGGTAGTTTGGATTACTTAGCAACTATGAGTTTGTAATTCACTTCAATTCTTTACTTTCTTCCCTCATCCGAGTTCAAACAGAACAAACCCTCAAACTATGACCTTCATAGATGGTAACATCCAAATTTTCACCAAAACAAAATGAATATACATACTGAACTTTTGGGGAGAATGAACTCGACCCTTTGTAGGTTGGAAATATCAAATCCTTATAAGTAGTACGAGGGGATTATTAAGAGGATAGAGGAAGAGGAGGATTTTGATAGGTTGATAGCATGCAATATTTGAGGTGCAAGCTAGAATTTGAAGGGCATCTACCACTTATTTATTTTCTCAACTAGTTCCTTCATAAATCATGCCGATTATGGCCGACCAATACGAAAGCCGTGTTGAGCAACTTCACACAAAGCATTAGTAAATGAAATTTGCTTAAATAGGATAATCCAACAACCCACTCTGTTACTCCAAATTTCTTTGTGCCAAAGGATAGAACTAAGGGCGCCTAGAACCAGAGAGAATTATTGCTACATAAGGCCCCCACCTCCACCTGTCCACCCCCTTTCTGCCTTGGTCGAGAGTCTCTTAATTCCAAACAAATAATTAAAGAACTTCCTACTTTCTGCCCCTATCAAAGATGGACCTAAGGGGCGATTTCTTCATCAGACTTTGACGTGTGATACATACCAAAATCTGAGGTTTGAGACCTTGAGCATAAACATGGCGGACACACATACTCTCACACAGAAACACTCACACAAGAAGTCTTTTGAAGGGTAATGAAGAGGCTTGCTAAACCTTAGTACCAAATCTAACCAATTCATGTGCAAGTGGAATTTCGGTTCATGAGATGAATGAATCTTGGAAAGTTGAATCTATCAATGAGTGTTACCAAATTTACTGGGCGTTGAATCCGTAGAGAAGGTCCTAACACCATAGAAGCCTAGCACTCCCTTTTCCTATTGTAATTGATGAATTCCTCTGTAATATTTTTCTTTTCTTGGCTCGCCTGATAGGAAAAACTAACCATGTAACCCATATTTTTGAATTGTCAGAAAAGTTAGAATAATGCAGTAGCAGACTTGAGTAAGGAAATAATGAACAGCTTGAAAGCTAAATTATGGAGTACTTGAAGTCCATGGCCATTGGACATTTGTCCATTAAGGGAGTCTTTATGTACATGTTTCTTTTGAGTGGCTAGGATAAATCATGGGGACAAAAGATATTCTCTTTTTTTTTTTAGATTTTTTTTTTGTTTTACCAAATGGGGGCAAAAGATAGTTCACTGAATTTTAGTTGTACGTGGCAATGGTTGGTCCTTTTCTTCTAGCTACTACATGTGCTGTTCCCAGTTGAACCAAATATTTCTTTGGGGTGGAATTTTAAGTCCCTCAATTATCGTAAGTTACAATTAGATGACAAGCAGTGTTTTTAGCATTTTTATAGTTACAAATAATTATAGCATGCCATGAAACCTTGGAGTGAAAATTTAAGGTCGATCCGACAACGAATGTGAGGTATGGACCAGCAAGGACTGCTAACTTGCCAAGGCTTTGCATGGAAATCAACACCTTATTTTCCCAGGTTTCATGGTGAAGAAACCTGCCACAAGAAAATCAACAGGTGGAGGTACCATGTCAATCTGCTAATTGGTGACCTTTTTCTCTGTTCTTCCTCCGATCTACATAATCAAGTAAGTTTGACAAATATATCTCAAATTTAGTTCAATAATCCAAATTGAACAATATACTTACCTCAATGTCTAAATGTAATATTTACCATGTACATAACTTGGCGTGTTCAAGGATGACAAGCACGAACTTAGCTCCAATTGAGAAGTCCAGTAGGGCTGAGGTGTGTCGAGTACTCTTTTTAAGATGATATGCGCTCCTATGTTGGTATTTTTTAGAATTCATGCAGGAGATCTAAGTGTGCCGCTTCCAGCATACAACAACCGAACATTAAGGTTATTACTTCATTTTGATCTGTACAACCAAAAGAAGCAGAACCTTTTCAATATCTTACTTTGCCCAAAAAAAAATAGAAAAATGGAAGAAGAAGAAATGAGTGTAGGAAGAATAATGTTTAGAAAGAATTGTGAAAATTTTTCAAAGAATTTCACAATTTACATGCTACACAAACCCTTTCAAAAAGTAGATTGCATGTCCAAGTACAATGTACGTCGATTTTCTTTTTTTCATATAAATTGTAGTAAATATAGCACTTATAATACATAAATTTGTAGAATTTGTAACCTATAAAAACTTGATGACACAATATGTTTCATATTTAAATTGTTTCATATTTATAATAACTTCTATCCAAATGATTCATAACTTTTATTTTATAATAACTCAAATATAACTCCCAACATTATAATTCCCATTACTCTAAAAAATAAATTACATTATAACTCATTGTAAAGATTTGGTCAAGAAAATTTGAAATTTTATTAAAATACACTAACATTCTCTTGTTTGTGTCATTGTGTGTGTATGTGTGTCTGAAGCCATTGCCAATAATTACCTACAATTACAAGTAAGAAACCATTTCACAAATCACAAAGAGCTTTAATTGTGTGTATATATATATATATGAAAGATAAGAAATTAAAGGGTCATTCTGTAAATTTGGCATCGAGTTTGAAAGGTCAAACTTAATTAGCAACCAGATGTGCGGCCAATTTTCAACACTTTTATCGTAAATCTGTACAGTACAGACACTCCCGTTTGAAATTCATTTTCTTTCAGAGTTCCTAGTGGCCGGCAAGAGGAAAGCTGAAAACTCAGAAAACAAGATGATTATTAGATGAAGGAAGAACAATTACAAAGGGTTTTTATTTTTATTTTTTTATAACGAGATAAAGACGACAGAGGAAGGTTCGAAGGTCGAACCGTAAAAGTATATGTCGACTAACGTCCTTACCAGCTTGAATTTTGGACTAGTTCCACCGGGCATGGAGAATGTTTGATCAGGTTGAATGATTGAAGTCTAGTTTTTGAAAGACAAACGTATTTCTCAAAACATTGGCTGATTTAAATTCTTAAAAGCCTAGACTACTGATATGAAAGAAAGCAGAGTTTATCAAACAAATCAAATTCATGTACTGATTTTCTTAACATGCAATCCAAGAAAGAAAAGTATTTCGTCTCACTTCACTTGAAAGTGCAAGATCGTATAAATATTTGCTCCTTTTGGTTGTAATGTGCGCGTGAAATTAATAGCTAGCCCCTATGAATGATATTCATTCCACTTTCCTCCATCTATTGCCTTCTTTCCCCTCGGCTTTCCTTCAGCTACTAACATTTTCTCCCGAGCACTAATAATATACTCTCGACAAGTCTGACTTCTTTTTCTTTTTCAATCATAAAAGGCGCCTATATTGGTGCCAATTTTTTTTTTTTTTGTTAGGATTAATCCTAATAAAACTCCTCAAAAAAAAATGTCTCTCTCTCACATTGCCCTTTGGATGTTTAATATAAATCAGTATATCTCTTGTGCTATTATAGTATTTCCAATCATGTACAATTGGATTGGGTAGCCCAATTTCGGGCTGAACTTGGCGTGTGAACTGCACTGCATGGGTTTTGTGAACTGATCAAATTCCTATTCTCATATATAAAATTTCACAAGAAAGTTTTCAACAAATAAAATGAGTCAATATAAGTCCTACATAATTACACTTATTATAAAAAATTTTGAACTAATAAAACAGAAAGTACAATGTACTACTTAATAACTTTTTTCAACACATATTCATTTGTAACAAATATGTGAAAAACAGTAACAATAAGTTCATATATATTAAAGCAAAGTTGAATTATGATAATAAAATAAAAGTTGCACAAAATTAGGATATTTAATGGTATAGGAACTAATTGGACGTAATTTCGAAAATTTTCATCAAGAGTAAATAAATAAAAATTTTGATAATTAAAAGCTAGTGGTGTAAATTGGTCATTTGACAGAACCATGTGCACTGTATAGTACCAATTCAGCTACAAACTGGGCTTCCCACTTCAACTGGACCTGATTCGAAAAATTGTAACAGCTTAGGGGTTTGAATTTGTTCAATCACGTATTCAGTTTCCTTCACTAACGAGAGTTCAAACAATTGCTACTTTTGTTAATAAAGACGTTAGGTTTTTTTTCCCTATCAAAGTACTTTTGTATTAATCCTAAGGAGTAAGGGTAGAATGATCATATTGTCACCTGTGGCGTATGCATTGAATCCGAAATGACTGTGAAGGAAAGTAAGTAATATTTTCAAAACTTTAAGAGTGATGTGTGATTATGTCAGAAACCTCAAAGGAAGGTTCTGAATTTACCCCTTAAAGGAATACCAAATTTAACTTTGTTACAAGTTTGAAATCAAAGATACTATTGCTACTTTGTGCCAGTGTTGTTAGATCCGAATCGGACCGACTGGTTCAGTCCAATCGTGAATCTGCCTTCTTTCTGAACTAGTTTGTAGTATAAAATGGCTTTGGTTAAAAACTAGTCAAAACTATCAAAAATCGACTAAACCAATGAGCCAATACAACTAGTTAACCTAGTTCTCGAACTTTTCTTTCTTCTTTTCTCCAAACATAATTTGAGTTGCCTTAATTGTAACACTTTCACTTATTAATAAGAATAAGAAAATGTCACCCATTTAGTGTAAATATCAAAATCACTCGCTTTTTCTAAATGATCTCTAAATCAAGATGTTTTCATTCCTATGATTTCATTAATTTAACATTAATGATTCCAACTTGCATTAATTTGTTTTAATTTAGTTTTTTAAGTAGTTTTGGAGAATGGACATATTTTAACTATGAATTTACATTTTTATATATAATTATTAGATGTATATTTGATTGCAAGTATAATATTTTTGGAACATTTTTCATGATTGGCCAAATGTAACCAAGAATTTAATTTCAATATTTTTGAAACTTATAAAAATATAAGATAATTATAACATCATACTGACGTCAGTGAATTTTTTAGAACGGTCCGACAAATCCGACCGACTGACCTCTGACTCAATAGTTTAGCCGAATCGCTATCTGGTCCGAGTACAATAACATTGCTTTGTGTTTTTTTGTTTTGGAGAAAGGATGCCTTAGGTGGTATGGGAGGAAAAACTGTAAGTGAGAAGTTCCAAACTTGGGACTTATTACTTACACTGAAAAAAAAATTGAAAGAACATCTGTCTAGATATTTTATAGAAGGGATCAAGCCACCTTGCAAAAACATAAGTACCAAAAGACAGTAAATGCCTTGGGATTCACAGTAGGGATATAATCGAGTCAAGTCAAACTCAAGTATTACCATATTTGAACTCAACTCGACTTATAGAAAGGATACTTGAGCTTGAGCGAGTAGCATCACTGGAGGTTGAGCTTGATGCATTGCTCGTAAAACTTGAGCTCGACTCGCATGGGCTCGAATCAAAGTGAGCCTTATCAAACTCGAGTAAGGAATATTTGGAGATTTCATTTTTCTTAACAAATTTTAAGCAAAAAGATATTATTGTCCTTCAAAAAATTTCATACAATCTAAAATATTTCATAAATTTAACCAATCTTGTGGGCACAAGGGTAATTTCATAATAACAATATATTAAAAATTAAAATTTAAAAACTCGATACGACTCGACGAGTCTTTGGATCTTGCTACTGAATATTCAAACTGGACTTCTTTGGCCTTATCAAGCTACTCGAATTCGACTTAAATTCAGTCAACGCGAATATGAGTCAAGTTTTTGATCGAGCCGCTCGCTAGCAACTCCCAAACAGCTCGATTCAATTACAACCCTTATTCACAGTCAGAGTCAGTAAAGTGGCTGGTCGCACAAAATGGGATGGCCGGCGTTGAATTAGGTGCATATCCATTGCTTTGGTGGTTTGCCACCTAATATGGATGGTGTGGCATAAAAAGAAAAAAAACAAAAAAAAGTGAATAATCCAAAAGGGGAATATGTATTTCATTAGTTAAGGATCAAATACGTCTAGTACTGTACTTAATACAGATATGTAGCACATCGTGGTATGCCAAGTTGCATTGCAGCCCTTCTATACTTCTGCTTTCTTCTATTTAATTTTTCTTTTTGAAGATGGCAATCATGACAAAATTGTAGATGTCAACAACGATACAAGCACTAGCATTCTACTCACCATTTCTCAACAACTTTTCAGACAAAAGAAAGTACCTAGTTTTCCTCATTTACGATTTTATGAATAACCCATCACAATTTCTTTCTCTTGACTGTTTGACAACGTTTTAACTCGTCCCTGAAAAAATTAAAGTATGGTAGTACATTGATTTGGAACAAAGTTAAATAAAGTGCAATTAGCTCGAACATCGGTATAAGCATTTCGAAAATTAACACAATTTTCAACTGCGGACCAAAAAATGAGAAATTTTGAAATATGACATAGTTGTAAGATAAGTAGCCATAAATTGGCTGAAACATTAGATCGCTACCTTCATTTTTATATAACTGTAAACTTATGGTAGGCTTGACCATTTCAAAACTTGGTGTTAATCAATTTTTCACGAGTTGGTAATTTCTTACTAATGATTTACTCCGAGCCATTTAGTTTCGAATGTCCAGCCTTAAATGCGGAAAGCCTATAAAGCTACATAATAATTTAGACTCATGAAATTTTTGATTATTGAAACCATGAACATGAGTAGAAGTATTGAAAAGGTTGTCTTTGTTTGAACCATAAAGTTAAACCACGAATAATGGGTGAAAATGATTATCGAACTTTATCCTTGGGGGACTCGATTAAGAAGGAAGTTTATTACCAAATAAGAAAGAGAAGAAGAAAAGTTTCATGAGTGGAGAAGTTGTTAGGTTAGGGATCGGGATCCTCAAAATGGAAGGTCCAAGTATTTTTCATCTTCAACGCAGTTTACAGTAAAAATACCCATATTTTCCAAGTATTTCAACCAGTTAAATTGAGTTGTTATATCTTAATTCTTTTGGATGCTCACCTACTGTTTTAAAATATTTCTCCAATAGATTTCCAGTGAGCATTTGTAAGGGCACCTAAT